GGGGATCCGACGGGAGATCGAATGTGCAGGAACCCAGAAATTTTTGAAGGACCAATACCAAGGTATCCCGACTGAAAGGAAGTGGATGAAGAAGAAGGGTAAGAGAAGAAGATATTTTTGTTATATTTCTTGTAATATTTTTGGTCGGGGCCATTGGTAATTTGGAATTCATCAGACATTTTTAAAATTTACAGTCTGAACTTGTCAAAGGATTCGATACACCCAGAGTTTTATACAAAACGAAACGAGTGCCTGTTTGTGCACATTTCTAATATTGGAAGTTAACATAATACGCTAAATGCCAACAACTTTGGAAAGTATCGCTATAAGATAAGATAAGAAAGGTTATACAAAATAAATGTTGCCTATCAATGCAGCGAGATAAGATAGGGAAATGGGCGGCTGAAGTTCTGTACGACTTATGACGGCGGTGCTCACGAGTAGGCGTAACACATCGACTTACTGTATTTACACCACGCGCGAATATATACAAGAAGCATAGGAGTCTTATCTGACTACTAGAACGGTTTTTCTCTGATAAGTTCGTACGTGCGCACACACAACCTGCAAACTAGATTGACATCGGAGAATATACTGTATATGTATGATACATGAGGACACCATTTTATTTATCGTTTTGTTTGTTTGTATGCATGAATGAAAAGACATTATCACGGTCATGTGACAAAGAAAGTTGGGGAATGTTCATGTTTGTAATAATGCATATACTGTATACAGTAGTATGCAAAATTATCTTCTCCCTGCCTAAAAAATGAATTCTCCTCTAGTTTTATCTTTTCCTTGACGCGATCAAATTGCCCAGACATTTTCTTGTGTATTGAAAAGTGACTGAAGGCGTTCTCGGTCGATCCTCAAGCCTTAACAGGTCTGGTCGTTCTTGCTCAAGACGCGCATTCAAATCCCGAACGTTTTCGCTATTAAAACTAGTAAATGTTAGTCATGGCATACACCACGCAAGGATAAATAGACACATACCTGTAGTCACAGGGATCGTAGAATTTTTTGCAAGGAGTAAAGGAGATCGCCTGCAACGACAAAGGCAACAAATATTGTTGATGATAAATTCGGAATCTCGTGTCTTTTCATTAACACAATTTTGACACTTACATCTTGCCATCCGTGACTTTTTTTGCTTACCCTGTATGCGGCAGTCGATTCGATCATTTGATCCTTTGATATGCCATACATAAGATTAGCAGATGAGAATTCCTATGAAAAGAGTGCGAGTTAAAATACAGTAGATACGCACGGTGAGAGATAATTTTGTTCTTTGCTTGGAGCGATTTAGGTGCCTTTCCGATGGGTAATACTCGACGTCTTTGGGATCTTTTGGTCGTTCTGGATTCAACGGAGACGGAATATCGGGTGTGTATGGCTTATTTAACTTGGAATTCTTGGTTTTTTCTATAAATGTTCGGCGTATGAATGAATACGCGTGTGCGCGAAACCCGTCAGATCAAAAACTCACCACATCGCTTGTACAAAAACTCAGCGGGTGTTAGTACGTGTCCTCTTTCAAGACGCGAATGACTTCACAGAGAGAGTTTGGTTAGGATACAAAAAAAAACAAACATACAGTAATAGAATAACTAAAATGACGTGGTACTTACTCGAATTCACGCATTTTGCCATTATTTTTACCAGCCATTCTATCCTCGTAATCAATTATACGCATCACATTTCGTGAAGCCCCATCACTTTCTTTATCGCATGACACATCAAAGAATTCCCTTTTTATTTTTGTTATGCCACCACCAATTATGTTTGTGAAAAACCAGGCAAAACAATTAATCGCGATCGTGAAGCAACAGAATGTCGATAGCAGACAAAATGTTGTCACCGATATGATGATGATTGATAAATTGAATGCGAATGGTTGATTCCTAATCGGTGGAAGTGAGGGCGTTCTCAACGGAAAGAATTGAAGCATCGTTTTTCTTAATTTATTAATGATTTCTTAAATTTGAATAACTTTTTTCCTATACAATATCTTAGATCGTAACTCGCATATGTAAAAAGATTTGCCAGAACCGTAGGATGAAAGAAGCAATAATGAGCAACGAAGGAAAAATCTTCCTTTTAAAATGCACTTTTTCCACAAACCGGGACCTCACTAAGAATCATATATTTACAAAAATGTGTTGGAATTGTTTTAAAGAAAATTTGGTTGTTAATTATATATGTAAACAAATCTTATAAAAAGATGTGCAATAATGCAATTTCTGTACGCCATTGTATTACCAACAGAATTGGAACATCTGAAGAAAAATTAACTCACGATGGCCTTGTTGGTTCATAAGATTGAATGCTATGTCAAAATCACAATGGACCGGTCGATAATAAGAAACGCCAAATGGTTTATTTTAGCATGTGCGATATTCAGGGATAATGTATACTTTACCTGTTAAAGTGAATCATTTGCGAATCTTAACCGGTTTTCGATTTTTATACATGGGTGTTCATATGCTTTGACTACAAACGGAAAATCAGAAAATCGAACGCGAGATTTCGCATTTAGTGACGTATCGTGTTCGAAAATATTCGTGTAATAAATAACTGAAATCTATATGGCCTAAAGGTTTTCTCGTTCTTTTTACAACGAGCCTTGAGATACAAGGAATTGACGTACTGTATATCATGCTTGCGTTTATTCCTTGCCTCCATTCTTACGAAAAAAAGGGCACCTGAATTTGTCATTGGACGCCATATTTCCGAGTTGCGCTGGATCAGGTAAACTGGATCCAATTATGAAGATAACATGTTTGGCTATGAAGAATGGAATGATCTAGCCTTTTGATTTTCCATTGTTCTAATGTTGTACCAATAAGTCATCGGTGGCTTGGAGATATGACAAATTTCGCAAGGAATTTCCTCGCACGTTAACGTGGAGGCCAATATAAGCAAATGTATCATTCTGGTGCATGAACGGATCACCCTCGGAACGTGATTTTCATGATGTCTAAAAATGTCTCATTAGCTCCTTGTTCCGCGGGCAAACATCCCGGTGAACCCAAAAGCAAATTCTGTTGTGTGACGGGTATTCCGAATGATCTACAAATTGGGGCTCAAATGACAAAAAATAATCCCGGTTAATTATCGTCGTTACATGAAAGCAACATAAACATTGACTTATAGGTTACATACGATATGCAATGTCATCAGGCAGCCATTTCCCCCTTTTTAAAAAAAAAACGACGATAATTACTGTACGAATCTACGCATCATTTTTGCGAGATTACCTTTATTAGCATACAGTGGTACAACTGATACGATAAGATTATGCAGTATGCTGTGTGTTCGTCAATTTTCTACAGAACGATTTTTTATCTATCTAACGTTTTTGTTTGGAATTTATACTCGGATCTAGTGTATGACAAAAAGATTTGCAATGTACTGTTTTTTTCTAGAAAAGTAAATTTTATATAAAAACCAATCAAATACTAATTATCATTGTTTCTTATTATCAAATACGAATTATAAATAGACAAGATAAAAAAATCTTATTCATGTTATTTAATATTAACAAAAACAAAATTATCATATAATGGAAACCGATTTGTGACTTTCTGATAATTGAAAATTTTACTTGAATCGATTATTAAAAAAAAAAAAAAAAAGTTCTTGTTTTATAATAATATCAATATAACAAATAGTCTTTTTTTTAAAGCTTATCGATTATCAAACTGTTTTAATAATTTTAAAAAGGTTTAATTTGATTTTTTTTTTCTTTTAATTAAATTGCATACTGATGTATTTATTAATTTTGTATGCAAAAAACAGTAGTACAAATTCAATACAGTAAAATTTATAATAAATTTAAATTATTTTCAAGTAGCAAAACATCTATTAACAAGTTATTTATAGATTTACTATATGTATAATTCTTGAATTCCTAATATTATAATAATCACGCTGTTTATATAATTTACTGATTTATTAATTATCTTATTACAAGAAAGTAAATAAAATAAAAAATAGTTTGATTTGATATTAATTTTAATTAAAATATTATATATTATAGTTTATATATATATATATATTAAGGGCTAAGGTGTGATACATGTGTGGATTTTATTTTATAAATCACATGATTTACAAGTTACCATTACATAAACAGTCTAAGCTATCACTAATTAACTGACAACTCTGCCCTTATTCTAACCCAAGTATCAACTTACACCTCGAGGGTGGTTCATATCTAAGCGTGAACTATGCAGAGGGCTGTTTTCTTACCTATTAATCATTATTAGAGTCCTTATTACAGTCACTCCCTATGATCCATCCTTTCTGGCATCAAGGATTTATTTCTTTATACTTCCTAGTAAATACTCCAAGAATTATTTCTATAGTTGGTATACACTACCAAATCTGGGGACTCGATTGCTGGCCAAGTGGGGTATGACTCCTTAAGGATTACTTCTTACTCTCTCAGTAGACATTCTATAGATCTCTTAGTTGACTTAAGCTGTCAAATCTAAAAGTATAAATACCAAGCAGGGCACAACTCCTGTAAAGTAACCTGAGTTTCTTTCAGTCTGCTATACCCATGGAATGATCATCTTCAAAGTTGCCTAATCAGATTAACAAGTTTTCTTTTATAGTTTCGTGGACTATAGGAGGGGAAACCGGAAATACATCAAACATAGCGTTGATCATTGTAACACCAATCAGACAATCAACACACTACAACACCTTTTCTGAAAAACACAATCTCAATGCCTGCTGTATTAGCATATGAAATGGCTTCGCATAAGAAACAGCATATAATAGGTTATGATGTCAGATACTATATAGAACTGTTCAATCACCTTCACCTGGGATTAAACCGATATCTTGTGATCTGACCTGTGAAGTGTTAACCATTACACTATAGACTCACAAGTTATATATTTTTATAAATAAAACTATTTATTTGTAATATAAAATAATTATAAACAATTTGTAAATTTATAACATAGTAATTAATACTTCATAGGTCGAATTACAATTTAATTTCATATATGAGCAATTGAATAGAATTAGTATAATATCTAATGCCATAATCTATAAAAAGCATTGTTTCTTATAAGAAGCCATAGTAGACATTGAGATTATGATTTTTAAGAAAGATGTTATAGTGCAATAATTATCTGATTGATATTACAATAATCACCAAGAGTTGCAAGTTACTAATAAAAATATATATATATACTATTAATCAAATAAAAAAATTTTTTTATTCAATAAATTAGTTATTATACCTAATGTAAATTAGAAACAAGTTATAGCAAATATTATTATTTGAAGTAATTTCGATAAGAGTTAAATATTACTAATAACTGATATATTATAGTATTGTCTAAAATAAATGTAAATATTGTTATTAAAAATAACTTTTAACCAGACAATTATATTGATATATAATAAAAAAAATAAAATAATTATAAAAAAATATTAAATACAAAAAAAAAACTTTTTTGTTAATTATCTTGCCAATTCAAAAACAAATATTTCAAAGTAATTTTATATTTTTTTAAAATAAAATCTATATAATTTTTTTAATAATATTACTATCTAAAAATTTCAATTTTTTTTTATTTGTTTCTAAGGTTTCAATTGATATTAATAAATATTATTATCAATTTATTAGTTTTAATTTCGATATTAATTTTAAAAATAAAATAACAAAATAAAATTTTCAATAAAACAATAAAATATTAATTAGTTTAAATATTTTTTGAAAATACTAATCAATATTAAATTCTGATTAATATTAACAATAGAAATTATATTAAACTATATATATAAATAGAATTTTTATTAATTTTGATAAATAATATTATTAATTTATTGTTTTGATTTTAATATTTTTTAAAAATATTAACTCATTAAATAAAAATTGGTAATAAATTTTATATTGAACTATAAATATAAAGCATATTATAAAAAATTGTTTTATTGATATTAATTATTATTATTTTTTTTTTTGAGTTAAACAGCATTAGAGGCAAGTCTTTATTGATATTAAACCATATCTATTACAATACAGCAAACATCTTCTGTAACTGTTATATTACAGCTTAATGCTAGTCTATTAACTATCTATTGTCTGTTAATATTAATCTGATACTCTTGAAATATTTTTCCACATCTTTGGAAAGACCTATCT